TCCCCCCCCCCCCCCCCCCACATGCAAATAACAAAAGGCGCATTCGTAATTTAAAGTTCTTGTAAAGTGAAGCCACATTTAAACATACTGCCAAGAAAATGGTGTCCAATGGTTGCATTTTGCCTTTTTCAAGCACCTTACTGCAACATCATACCTGAGTAAGACCATGTTGGCAGTTCAAACATAGAAATGGCAGACCATGCTTAATTTATTTGAACGACCAAAAAATAATGGTTTGCCATATGTTTTCTTATTTCGAGCCCTAATACAGTACAGAACACACTCTGGTTTATATGAGACCCTCTTAGAGTAGATTCCAACCGACGACATTGCCTTGAAATGGCGACATATAGAAAATGAAATGGCAACATTGCATGGACACAAACTCTGTCTGAACTGTGACAGTATCAAAGGAGAAAACATGACAAAATTTTGAAAGCAACATATTGTAGCATAATGGAAATAAGGAATTAAAAGGAAATTAAGTCAGAGGAAAAGGTGTAAACAATGAGAGCTGAAAGGCATAAATTTAGAAGACCAAAGAATCTCATTCAAAGTGCAACAAATATGGAGAACAGGTTGAACAGTACCATACTTTAGCACAGATAGCAGAAAAGTGGTTAGAAGCAATTAAGAAGAAAATGGTAGTGGAATGAGGAGATCCATCCTGTATTCGAAAGAATACACTACTTCGCTCGTATTTTCAAATACATTATTGGGTCAGAGACCAATGGTTTAGAGGTGCCAATTCACACAGATATGGAGAGACCAGAAAATATTAGATGTCGGTGGAGAGGGGTTTTTGCATGAAAGGGGAATTGACAGTGGATGATAAAGACAGAGGTTGGTAAAGAGGGGATCACGCTTCATGTGAAGAAAAACAGCTATTTCACGTTTCACATGTAAAAAGTTAACAATTTCATGAAAATTAAACACACGTTCTTATAACTGTGTAACTCTTATAAACTAATTTCACCACTGAAAGCTCAAGATTGAAAGTCTTTTTTTTAAACTAACCGATATTTCTAGTAAAAATAAAGAACACACATGCATGCATGCATGCAGGATCATGCAGTAAAAATGTTACGTCCAAAACATTGCTCGTCTTTACCTTCGCACTTCGCGTAATCTACAAGCCAGGACATAATTTGAAATTTCGTGGTTGGAAGGCAAACAACAAAATGGTAGTGGAATGAGGAGATCCTTACTATATTCGAAAATAAAAACGACCTATTGAAAGAAGACAATATTTTGTTCGTATTTTCTAATACATGATTGGGTCAGAGACAAATGGGTTAGAGATGCCAATTCACACAGATATGGAAAGACCAGAAAATATTCATTTGGATGTTGGAATAGAAGGGAAGTTGTATCCCCATGATGATGATGGGGCACATGCTAATTGACAGCCATGGTGAGGGGTTTGTGCGTGAATGGGGAATCGAGAGTGGATGCCATAACAGAGGGTGGTAAAGAGGGGGGCTGGGATCACGCTTTATGTGAAGCAAACACATGGTAGCCTCGGTTTCTTTTGTTTCAACAGGGACGTTTAATCACGTATTTCCCTCATTACCCATGCGTACGCTTTTGTCTTCTGAATTTCCCTGGGAAACGGGGAAATTTAGTTGAAAACAAAGGATTTCTTTGTCTTCTAATTTCCCCTGCATGCTTGATGAGGGAAATTTAGAAGACAAAAGCGTACCTCATTACCTCTGATTGGAGAATTGTACCTCATCGGAAATCACCGTACACATTCGAACAATCACTTTGCCAGCTTTTATTCCCTAATCTTGAAAATTTCAATTGTGGGAGAAAATTCCGTTTATGCGCATGCCTAAAAAGAATGAACACGGAGATGTGTTTCTGCGCGTGCGTATATATGAAAAGTGTTCGTACCACAATCATAAGACAATCAAACAGCATTCAAAACAGGCAACACACCACACGCGATTCCCTCGGCTACCATGTATTTACAAACTAAACGCATGCTTTGAGGGAAATTAGTGATTAACCTCGGGAGGTTTAACGGGAGGTTTACTCCCGTTAAATTAAATTATTAAATTAAATTAGTGATTAAATGACCCCGCAAAACTCGGGAGGTTTACTAAACCTCCCTCGGTTTGCGGGGACATTTAATCACTAATTTCCCTCAAAGCATGCGTTTACTTATAAAAAAACAGCTATTTCACGTTTCACAAATTGTAAAAAATTAGCAGTTTCACGAAAATTAAACACACGTTCTTAACTGTGTAAATCTCATCAACTAATTTCAGCACTCAAAGGTCAATAATCAAGTCGTTTTTAAAACTAACCTATATGTCTAGCAAAAATCAAGAATATACATGCATGCAGGATCATGCAGTAAAAGTGTTACATCAAAAACAATGCTTTTCTTCACGTTCGAGGACGATACAAAAGAAGATCCGACCCAAAAATATTGTAATAAAGAAGACAGTGGCGTAACTTGTTTGGACCCCGCCCCCATCGCAGGGGGTCCCTTATCAAGGAGGGCCTCGATATTGTGATATGATCATATGTCGTTGTACTGGATATGGCTTTCCAACATTTAAATCTTATTTCGACGTGGATTCCTATGCTGCTTCTCCCCAGCAGAATCTGCTACGTGATTATGTTATTTTCGAGATTATGTTATTTCAGAGAACGTTCAATAAATAATTATGTTATTTTCGTCAGTGACTATATACTTGAATCTTGATATATTAAGATGTGTATATGCGGTTTGACTCGACTATCACAACAGTATATGATTGTTTACTACAAAACCATTAGTTTTTCGTACCTGAATCATATGGTACTTTTCATTTGCTTAGAAATTGCTTAATCCTTCTGAAAACGTTGTCAAACTAAAATCTATTCTTTTCAATAATTCCACTGAATCCTTAAAACTTTTTAGATGGTGCCAGAGCTTCCGGGGCTTCGCGCCCTAGGTACCCGGGGCGCCCCTAAGCCCAATTAGTTACGCCACTAAAAGAAGGTGGTCTGGTGGAAGAACACATGGTTCACTCTCGCAAGCGTAATTGAGCGATGGCCCATCTACACTATACGATTAGTCGTATACGATTCTTATCCTGGCGTATGTACTCGAATAAATGCGTGTAGAGATGTCACTTTTAAAACTTCGCCATAAACTGATAAACAGGAATAGTGGCGTCAGCAATCGTTTTCATACGCCAGGATATACAAATCGTACAGCAGAAGCGTCACTCAAGCAAATATTTGTCCGCGTTTTTACAAGCGATTCGTCATCAATCACGCCATCCTGGCTAGTACAACCGGCACTTTGTACCTACCGAAACCTGATAAAAACTTCCGGTTGTACTAGCCAGGATGGCGTGAGCGAGTTAAAATTTTCGTGGACGTAAAACAAAAAATATGGGGCTTCGGTGGCGAAGTGGTTAGCGCACTTGCCTTTCACTTCTAAGGCCGCGAGTTCGAATCTCAGTGACAACTTCTCAATGTGACTCGAACCCAGTCCTCATGTGAAAAGAGTAAAAGTCAACGCTCTGCCGAAAGTCGTGGGTTTTCTCCGGGTACTCCGTGTTTCCTCCCACAGGGAAAGTTGACAGGGTGGGTTAGGCACATAGGTCTGGAGGCAGATCATTAATGAGGTATGGACAAATAGCGGCTGCTCAAGCGCCATTTGTAAGCTCAAAGTCTACCTCGGTCTGCTTCACGTCAGTCCGGTTCTATCTATCAAGCTATTCATAATGTAACCAGTCACTGAAAAGCCCTGGTAGGGAGTGTGCTGTGAAATATCTGTATCTGTATAATAAGGGACCGACTCGAGTGACGCTTCTGCTGTACCTTCTTATTCTGTGTCGTATACGACTAGTCGTATCGTGTAGATGGGCCTTTATGACAATTGTTGTTATGAACTTAATATGTTGAATAGTCCACGAATGAATGAATAACCGTGTTATTCACATGCATAGCCATAAAGCCTAGTTTTCATTTGGTCGTTAGTTGTCGCTGGCACGACAAGCGGTAGATGTGAAATAGTCTAATATAATAATAGTCTTCCTGTGTAATATGCAAATCAGTTTTAATGATTGCAGAGTTTTTTGTTGACACTCTATTACATCAGCCACTTGTCGTGCCAGCGACAACTAACGACCAAATGGAAACTAGGCTTAACAACAATGGTTAATGTGAGTGGCCTGAACGACAGTTTGTAACATAGCATAATAAATTATATCATCGGTCAAACGTCACGATGGGGGAAGGGAACAATAGTGTAACCCTGTCTGATTGAAGCTTTGTTTCTTTAGGTTCCACCCCAGTGGGCATGTATAAGAAACTGATTGAATTCCATAAGGCTGGGGAACTTTCCTTTAAATTTGTAAAAACATTCAACATGGATGAATATGTTGATCTGTCACGAGATCACCCTGAAAGTTACCACAGTTTTATGTGGGAGAATTTCTTCAAGCATATCGATATAGAGCCTAAGAATGCGCACCTGCTGGATGGCAATGCTGAAGACCTGCAAGTCGAGTGTGAAAATTACGAGAGGGAAATTGCTCAGGCTGGTGGTGTTGATTTGTTTATTGGAGGTAAATACTATCGTATACAGTTTTGCAAAGTCGTTAGTGTAGGGAAGCTGTAAGTAGGGTCTTATCCTTTTATGCTTTAAGGTGTCACCGGCGGGCACGTTGAAAAATTGCTTAACCGCGGTGGGAATCGAACCTGCGACCTTGACCAACTGATCAGTTAAGTTATCAAGTTATCAGATCTTACGAGGTTTTGAGCAGATCGTATTTCGCAACTTAATCTAGTTGTTTCGAGATCTCAGCTGATAGAGCGTTGGACTAGCAAACCAAATCTCGAGGATTCGATTCTCACCGCGATCAAGTAATGTGTGTGGAGATGTTCAGAGCAACAAATTCAGCAAAAGTTCAAGACCATAACCAGTAAAGATAAATTGTTTCAACCCCCCCCCCCCTCATGTGTTTTGCAGATTGGAATTGTAATCATTGAAATGAATATAACTGGAACGCTACCTTCAGATAAACTACCTTTCTTTTTCTTGAAGCCAAATCTTGATCCGCGTGTTTATATCATCATTGACTGATTGAGCGCTCTTCGCATGCGTGAAAAGTCTGGGACTGGCCAACCATAGATTTATTTCTCTCGCATGATGATATTGGTCCTGGACTGGATCAAAATTCGCTCAGTCCTTAGATTGGATCAAAATTAATTCATGAGATGTCATATCAAACCCGACTATGATAACTTTACCGGATATCTAATCCTTCAATTCAGTCATATCCAGTAAAACACGGACTGGATACATAGATAGCTTAAATATACTAGATAGTGCATCTAATTATACTGCAATTCAAAAATTGAAACCGTGATTGCAGTCTCAGGTCGTTCCCATGAAATGAGAGAAGATTCGTATATTTCCTATTTCTTAAACAGGGAACTTGAATATTAAGTTAACCCTATTCCAAATACATTTTTAAAGTATTCAAATGATGAAAGTCATTGCTGTTTCTAAGCGTTTATTAGCGAGTGGGAACGACCAACATGGCCGCCATCTATTCAAATGGGGGTAACCGCTGGAATATTCTTGGCTTCAATTTTACTAAAAGAGATGCGCTATCTAGTGTATATAAGATATCTATGACTGGATATCCAGTGACGTCCTCATATAGTCGGATTTGGTATATTACCTAAACTATGATCTTGAATAAATAGTAGTGTTTCAAAAAGCAAAATCCGTTCATAATAGTCCCTGAATTTCATTCCCACTGAAAGGTGGAAACTAGGAATAAAGTGTTACTATAAATACAAGAAAACGAGAGAGGTTCTTTATTGACGTTTCATCTAGGTATCGGTCCTGATGGACATATTGCTTTCAATGAACCTGGTTCATCACTTGCCTCTCGAACAAGAATTAAAACGTTAGCCAAAGAAACTATTGTAGCAAATGCAAGATTCTTTGGTGGTGATATTTCTCAAGTTCCAACCCAGGCTCTTACTGTTGGAGTTGCCACGGTCATGGATGCACGGGAGGTATCTATAGATTTCTTCATATGTTCAAACTTGGAGGGCCACCCAGAGTGTGGCGGGTGGGGGTAGAGAGCATCAGTCCTGATGCATAATGACGTCGCAAGGCCGAGGCGTGTTGCGCGCTTGGAATTCTGGTCTTTGTTGCCCATTCCGGGCGTAAGCCCGGGGGAGGGCACTAATTCCGCACGGCTATTTACCCCCGGGGAAAGGAAAGCATTAGCGAAGTCTAAAGTTCATCAATAATCGTGGCAATGATGCATGGCTATGGTCACCGTTCATGGGTGGTTATCCTCACTGATCTCAAAAATATGGCGGACTATCATGAATGGCGAATACTGATTGGTCAAGTTTAAAATTTGCATTTTAACGACTACATGACGGCAGCGAAATAACAAACATTTCTTGCCAATATATTTCATTTTTGCAAGATTTTGTAAATTTCAAAAGCTTTTTGAAATTTAGCTAAAAGTAGGGAGCAAAGACGCCGACGTTAATGAAGGTAAGTTTGTTTTAAATATCGATAAAAGGCAGTTTAGTTTTAAGAACGTTTTAAAACGTTTTGCGAAGCGTTTGTGGTTGAATTTTGCATTAAACTGAAGCTTATATTACGTTTTATAACGTATAATAACATACCTAACATATATATGTTGAGAAATTGATAATTTTGCAATTAAAAGTGATATTGGTGGATTTTTCAATTTTAAAAATATTCTTAATAAAATTATCATGTTACCATGACAACTACTTTAAGTATTTCATTTTTGTAAAATATACTGTAATGGTTTTGTCAGCAAGGCGAGGGTTTCTGCATGCATGTATTTTTTAGTTATATATATATATTTAGTTATATTCTGTGCTTCAAGTGTTAGTCGATAATTCGTAGATGTAGGCTTTGGAATATTCAAATATGGCAGCTGGTTCATGTCGGTTTTAGGTCCTCCTGGAAAATGCAGAAAACACACTTTCTTTGCCCATGGCGTGTTGTTGGAGATAAACCTTTGCAGGCATGCCAGGCAATTAAATTTACCAACTTCTTACGGAGTTCTTTTGATTCCACAATTTTACCATTTGGAGAATTACAAAAGGAAAACTTTGTATTTCTTTTTATTGTTTGTAAAACAACCAGGAACGTAAAATCAGCCCCGTGCAAGAGTTCTGAGAAGAAGTGTGGTCTTCATTGGCTTGAACAACCTCCAAAAGGCGACAAAGAACAGCAACACACTCACATTCGACAGTAGCCAGCCATGTTGGATTGTTTTGAATATTCCCGCCGTGCATGACTACTAAGACCAGAATTCCCCACGCGCATCACGCCTTGTGACGCCATTATGCATAAGGTCTATTTGTCCCTAGACTTGCTCCAAGTCTCTCTTTCATTGTCATATGGTATCGATCCACTATAGTGTACATTACATGACGTAGCACGGAGAGGCGGAGCGAAAAAGAGAGACTTCTCAACTTCGGAAAATCTCGGTTCAAAACTGACCCGAAAATGCAAGACTTGCTTTAATTATTTTCCTTCAGTGTTTATATGTATTGATCTAGCACAGTATAAATAACACGAGTTCTATAATAGCAAATAATACAAAAAGAAATTGAAGGAAAACAATTAAAGCGAGTCTTGCATTTTCGGTTCAGTTTTGAACCGAGATTTTCCTACGTCATGTAATGTAGACTATAGTAGATCGATACTATATGACAATGAAAGGGAGACTTGGAGCAAGTCTAATTTGTCCCAGGCCCCAGCATAGCATATCAATCTTTTTCGATAGTGATATTACTTGATAACGATATTTATAGTGAAAAACTAGTCGACGTCGCAAGGAAGCTCCCTACTTCCTCTTCCCCTCGTAGTAGTAGAAGTACTGTAGCGAGCCTGGCTTGCGATGTTGAAATTACAAAATCACGTATATTAGTGCCGTGTGAAACCCATCTTTGGCTTTAGTATTTCATTGTATAATGTAAATTTTCAGGTAATGGTTGTAATCACTGGAGTTCACAAAGCGTTTGCCTTGCACAAAGCTATCGAAGATGGTGTGAACCACATGTGGACTGTCTCAGCATTTCAACAACATCCTCACACCACATTTGTTTGTGATGAAGATGCGACCATGGAACTTAAGGTGAAAACTGTCAAATACTTCAAAGGTTTGATGGACTTACATAACAAACTTGTTGAAGAACCAGACAACCCCGCATCTCCTGTCAAAAAACGCAGCAGAAATTTCCAAACATTGAAATGAAATTAAGTATAGAAATTGTACATTATTACCCAGTAGAACTGTACATTCATTGTACCACTGTACAATGAAATATGATATTATTTTTATGACGATAATTAGGATGGCACAGATTCCCTCCAAAGACAATATTTAATTATAGTTTATGGTAAATGGTTGCATCTAATATCGAAATTAATTGTGGGAAATCATTTGGTAGAAATAAACCATACACAAAAATACAAGCCTAAAAACCTACTCATTTTTTTTATGATTATTTCAAGTGCATAACGGTAGTACAGACTTTCACCACAGACATCAGTGATTAGATCAGGCCTAACTAATTACAGGCTGTTTGCCAAAACCGTATTTTATGTGAATAATAATCAGATGATCTGCATTCAACGAAGACAGAACGAAAATCTCGATCTCAGTCGTGGATGGTCACAACTGTCGTCCATACAAGTCACCAAAGCCAATTTTGTGGCTCATTTTTGTGATTTGCGTGGTGTGCATGTTCTTGTTGTGCTTGGATAAAATATAAAATACATCGTTTGTCAAAGTATGGCCAAGATGCCTGGAGAATGTACTTAATATGCATGTCAATAGCGCTGAACATTAATGAATGGTAATGACTGAACGTTGGAAATCTGACAAATATGCGTTGGACGTTATTCAGGTAAATTAAGATCACCCATGATACCTACTAATTTTGACGCTCTTTACAGTGGTTAAGATTTTTATATTTTGCTACTTTTTAAAATCTCGTCCCCAGTCTCCACACCAAATTCGAAATGGCTAATTATCTAGGATTGGATAAAATTTTGGTGTCTATATTTGTGTAAATAGTGACATAACCCAACTTTTAAACATCATGAAATAGAAGGTCTCTCTGACTCTAGTGAAAATTTCGTGATTAGAAGTGTGAATAAACAAAATTAAGACAATGTCTTAGTCATAAACATAACTGCTTCCTAAAACTATACTACGCTATACTTCATGTACGCACAACAACAACTGCAAAACTGCTATCTATATTTCTCAAATTCATTAATAATTCATGAGTAATTCAGCCAATGATAATCACCTATTTGATCACAAGATGCCATTTGGATACTTGATGAAAGTCACTAGTGTTTTCATCAAATATCTTAATTACGCATGCAAGATTACTTGAATAGAATTCCTAATTACGTTATGCTTGGTTAAGAATTCTATTCAAATCAGCAAACAAAGCTCGTGTCTCACCGGGATATCCAAACACTCGAAAACAATGTATGAAAACACTCGCGCTTCGCGCTCGTGTTCTCATACATTGTTTTCTCGTGTTTGGATATCCCGGTGAAACACTCGCTCTCGTTGTTCATATATTACTTAAAAAACTCATTAATAATTCATGAAGAAAACACAAAGAAAAATCATAAGCGTGTCGTATCTGTATATGTGATACAGATTCATGTTGATTTACATAAACTTTAACTTTGATTTTCTCGGCTTAGACAACGTTTATTTTTAAAATTACTTCGCCAATGAACTTATAAGATGAGTCGTTTTTTAAGTCTCGCCTTCGGCTCGAGTTTGTATATCCGATACAACACGGCCGCTCATGTTGTAAACATTACATATAACGTCGTGAATGCACGTCTATTCGTCTAACATGCACTATCGTAACCGATTTAAATTTGAAGATATAACTGACTTTCAATCTGAATTAAATGCCGACATGTTTTTATATTAAAAGTTAATGGTTTTCTATTAATGATCTAATATCTTGCCGCTATGATGAGAGTTAATCGGAAATTTCGAAAACCAAATGCATGACTTGATGTAACTATGTTTCGTTAGTTTTAGAAACAGCATTTTCAGATTAAAAGATTCCTTTACAGTTAGTTGAGTGGCATTAAGGGGGAGCGCCGCGTTCCGTATTTAATGATGTTATTTTATAGAAAGCTGTTTGCCGTTAATTGCTACAGCTCTAATGCTTGTTGCGGCAATATTATGTTTAAACTGATCCGTTTGATTCTGAAACGTCAAAGTTATGCCGTTTAATTAAATTTTATGCTGTACGGCTTTAATTTTTATAGCAAAAATCCGTTTTCAGCTGGGAAATCGATAACTCGCTGATATCATCAAATGGCAGTAATATTATGATCGTTGATAGACGCAATATATAACGGACACATAGTTGAATGTTGAAAAATTGAGTTATATACAGCACAGCAATGTTTATATACCACATGCATTTTATTCCACAATTCGTTGTTTAGACTGGTCCGTTAGGTACTAAAGCCTCAACTCAATAACATGCAAGTTATTTTGAATGCGGTCGATTTGTAACACGTGTGCCGGAATATAATTGAGTCGTATAGTTTGTTGGACTATAATTAATTGCAGACTTATAATGTTTACCTTGTTTCGACCGTTCGTTAAGCCGTTAACAAACAAGCAAGTTTTCACATAAATGCACATGTGTAGGCTATATACGTATCACAAATTTTCTACGACAATTTTATGGTTTTCTGGCGGCCGCTATATATAGGATTATTAGTATACGGTCCAACCGCATCCATTAAGTACTCAAATTACTTCATCAAATTCTTAGTATGTCTACCCATGCATACATGCAGACGAGCAAAATTTGTAATTTTGTTATTTTTTTCTATTATATGGCAAGTGCTAAAAAAAGCTATAGTATGCTAGTTTTTGAACAAGCGTAATTTTCATAGAAAATTGTGGCAAACTTGACTTCAGACTTGTCATGTATACAGCTATTTCAATTAAGGTTGTCCACGAGCAAAGCGGAAAAGTCGAATACGAGCACGAAAGGCTGCTGGGAATCGCTAACAAATTAATGAATTTTCATAGCGATTCCCAGCAGCCCTTCGCGCTCGTATTCGACTTTTCCGCTTTGCTCGTGGACAACCTTAATTGAAATAGCTGTATATATCGGAAAAATTTTCATAGAAAACGTGCCCCTTTGTATTGTAATCGGCGTTAGTTATATATATATATATATATATATATATATATATATATATATATATATATATATATATATATATATATATATATATATATATATATATATATATATATATATATATATATATATATATATATATATATATATATATAGATATAGATATATGCATGCATGAAACCTCAAAAACATGGGTAGTTTTAACACATGCATGATTCCATTAACGTCCATCAACAGTAAACAAAGTTTGTAATCGTTATAATACAAAAACATTTAAAAAAGGGCCCCCATGCAGATTCAGCTCTAATGGACTACTTAATGGTTCGTGCATGTAGGAGTATAATTGTCATTCATGCATTTTTACACGGCATCACTGCCTGGCGCTGTGCTCCATGAAATAACTACTGCCGCATGACTAAGAGTTTATAAAAGGTACGTAAAATTGGCGTATTAATCAAACGCTCAAATCACCATTAACATTTCTTTTGCACAAATTTAGCTACATGTGTCAATGATCAAATGCGCTTTACATCAAGTATCACGCTTACCTATATACTTACTGAGCCTATATATAGATTATTTTATCTTTACAATTAACAATATTCTTAACTGTGTTTACCCACCCTGTCAACTTTCCCTCTGGGAGAAAACCGGAGCACCAGGAGAAAACCCACGTTGACTGGCTCGTCACATGCATGAGTTGGTAGCGAGAATCGAACCCACGAACTCAGAGGTGAAAGGTGCTTGTTCTGACGCCACCGAAGCCCAACGGGACCGGGTGAATTTATAAAACCGCACTCGAATTTGCGCGATGAAAACCAAGGGTGGGTAGTAGCGAAGTATAGTTGTAGTTCGCTACTGTAGCGAACTACAATTTTCAAGTAGCCAGTAGTTTTTGACTACTTTTTCAAAACAGTAGCTGTAGTTATAGCGAACTACATTTTGCCTAAAAGTAGCCAAGTAGTTGACTACTTTTCAAACAGCAAATCGCTATTCGCTACTTTTTAAAATTGTTAGCAACTTGATAGAATAGAATGTTATTAAGACACAGTTTGCTTAAAATCAATGCTCAATTTGCACGAATAAAGTATGCCGTGCAACTGTTCAAACTGTGCAAGTGCATGCCGTCTTATTTACTCGCGTAAGTCGATTTGTTATAGGTTACATTACATGAGCCTGAGCTATAGTAGATGTTCCATATACAGTAAAATTAAAAAATATTGAGTAGCGAAATAGTTCGCTACAATTTTTAAGCAGTATCTGTAGTCAGTAGTGAACTACTTTTGTTCAAAAGTAGCAGTAGTTGTATCTGACTACATATTTTTGAAGTAGCTGTAGTTATAGCGAACTACAAAAAATTTGTAGTCAACCCACCCTTGATGAAAACTATATACTCCGTATAGGAAGAGAAAATGGACCGGATGGTCATGGTACTGTTCCGAATT